GCTGAGTTTTTTTAGGTACCTGCTGTTTTGCTCAACACAGAGGGTGCAATTTTTGAACGCGGTTTGTAATTCGAATTTAATGGGCTTTTTTTGAATATTGGGGTGCGTTTGGGGATTTTGGTATTCGGTTGATTTGAAGGGTAGTCAGTGTTGGGATTTCTTGAGTATCTTTTTTCTGTGGAATTCTCCCTGTAGTTTATTTTAGTTTTTGAATGTAATTTCTAATTTTTTGAAATGCTTTTGAAACGGGGCTTTCTAAGCTTCGTACGCGACAGAAGCTTTTGGTGTCTGACTGATTTAAAGGGAAGTCGATAACAGAATTTTTTAAGCAGTTTTCGTTTGGTACTTTGTGTATACAATTTTTTAATTAAATTCATGTTCTAGGCTTAATTGAGATTTTGTGTGATGCTTGATGACAGCGGATTTTTGGATTTAACTGCTCTGAGAATTAATTGATATTTGATATTCTATAAAAATTTGTGGAATTTCAAATGTCAATTTATATGATATTTGAAATTCTATCTAGTTTTATAAAATTCTGGGCATGCGATTTTGTATGTACTTCGTGATTGGAATTTATCTAATTACTTCTGTACTGTTAAATGACAGCAGACTTTAATATCTGAATATTAGCTAACGTTCGAATCTTTTGAATTCAACAAAATTCAAAATAAACAATTCATCATGAATCTAATATACAATATAAATACAATCGCCCTTTCTCAACATTGTTACACAAGAAAAACTTGAATCTCTTGCTACCTAATCATGCCTTTAGTTTATTAAATTAGAAATTAAATTATTCGACCGAATTTATGTGAAATATTTTTGTCAATTCCGCAAAACCTGACCTAACTCAAACCTAACCTTCGTAGAAACCTATGCAATTTGCTGATATCCCCATAATTTTATATAATATATTTGGACACAAATGCCGTTCAAATGTGCACAATTATATTTATCATCCTAGAATACGTGTTTCGAGAAAGAGGAACATTTAAAAATAAATATAAAATCTATTAGAAAACACGTGAATATTGACTACGTCGGACCACGCGTTGCGCCATCTTGCCGACGCCACGCGATCCGCTACGTCAACGTCGAAAACGTGAACCGACGGAGGATGTGAGTACATCATCGTTTTATCCGTCGAGGGATTTGTTCGAGGAGCATTCTGGTTTGTTTCTTGTGGCGAGAGATAGCAAGGTCTGCACTGTATGCTCGGGACTTCCGGTAGAGTAGAGGGTTGTTTAAAGATGAACTTCCTACGCGTTGGTAGAGCTCCAGAAGTGTTTGTCAAGGGTTAAATATTCCAGTTCTCGGTTTTAGACACTGATTTACTGTTCTCGTATCTCTGCATGTTGTAAAGACTGAGTGAAAAGTTAATTTCGACAGAACTTACTCTGACAGAATTTAACACTAAAATTACCGTAACAGTCGAAATGACTGGTTTTGGTTTTCTTGTTTCACGATGATTGATTCAAAGCATTGAATATTCGAAATGATTTTGGAAATAAATAGACTTTTTAGTTAAAAGTTTCAAGCTTCATTCCGTACCTCCAACATTAGAATTACGTACCAGTGAAAATGACTGGTTTCGGTTTTCATGTTTCGCAATAATTGATATTCTCAAAGCATTGAATATTCGAAATGATTTTGGAAATAAATAGATTTTTTAATTAAAGGTCTCAAGCTCACCCTGCGCCTTTAACACTAGAACTACGTACCAGTGAAAATGACTGGTTTCGGTTTTCTTGTTTTGCAATATAATTGATATTCTCAAAACATTGAATATTCGAAATGATTTTGGAAATAAATAGATTTTTGAGTTAAAGGTATCAAGCTCGTCCCGTGTCTTTAACACTAGACCTACGTACCAGTCAAAATGATTGGTTTCGATATGTTTGTTTCGTAATTATTAATATCTTAAAAGCATTCAATATTTAAAATGATTTTGGAAATAAATAGTTTCACTGAAGTACTATAATGAATATCCAAAGAAACTGAAAATAATCTTTTGTTACAATTTTTATAGAGATTACATATCAATCGTATTAAATGCTCAGTAGTTCCAGTGTTAATACAAAAAAGTGAGGAATATAAAATTGTGGATGCACAAATAAAATGAATAATAATATTGTAAATATTAATAATCTAATAATTTATTTATTACACTGCATCTTCTAAGCAACAATTGCCTTGGATGCAAAAATATTCTTAATCTGGCGTTAACCATTTTTGGTAAATTAAGCGTACATAGTTTTTAAATATAGACGACGAATATTTAATAAGTTCTAATTTGAAAAATGTTAATAATATAGATTTTTACAGTCAGTCGTTTTTTTAATACATCAGATCTGATGCAATTTGTTCAATTATTTATATAGATTAATTAAGATTGTTTCAACTCGACTGATTAAAATCGAAGAATTTAAATTACTGTCCTATAGTTGAAAGTCAGGAAAGAGGAAATGACGTTCCGACTTTTCCGGTCGAACGGCGAATTCGAGCCTCGATTGAACGCTTCAAAATCCACTTTTCGGAATTAAGGGCGTTCGATTCGATTATTGGATCACGCACGCATAAATAGGAATGCGATCGCACCGACGGGACGTTCAGAAATTTCAAATCATCGCTGACTCGGTGCTTCGGGGGCGTATACCCTTGCACTGGAAACCGACCGGAAGACTTTGCCAACGGATATACTCGAAATTTATTGATATTAATCGAAGAAAAATATTTGAACCGTTTCCTCGATGAAAATTGGAATGAAAGTTGAAAATTTGGACGTCAAGAAGGAAATACTTTCATTTAATAAAAAGATTATTTGTTACTTATTTATAGCAAACTTTAATAACAATATTTTTGGTTTAACCTTCCAGACTTGTCCAGTAAAAAATGTTACATTGCTTATATTTAACGTGTGGCATTTGTAACCTCTATAATTTAAGAAGTTAGATAAAAATCAGGAATGATGAAATAGTAATCTTAGTTTCGTTTTTAAATTATTAGCAATCAGAAATTTGTCTGAAAATTATTAAAGATATCTTAGTGACAGATTTTAATCGTTAATAAATTAAACACGAAACCAAAAGCATAATTATTTTTCTCTCCATTTTCAACGCACGTTACTATAGTAAATTACTCCCCAAATTTTTTCCGAACACCTTATATACTACCGTCTGAAATTCAAGTACTCTTGCGAACGAAACGACATAGCCTAGTGCACCGGCGACTGCCTCCTAATTTCAGGGAGCGCGGTTCGAGTCCCACTAATGAAGACGTGATTCTCTCCCGTAGGTTTTATTTCTATTTAACCAAGCAATAAATAATCCTCTCACAACTGGGAGACAATTTTCTGACACTTTGCCGATTAATTAAATTATAATTACCAGAGAAAAATTATTTCTGAAAGACATATTATACAAAAGGGAATCAAGTGACTAATTAAAATTTACGAGCTTTTTAATCATAAAGGATTGAAATATAGAGGACCCTTAAAAGAAAGAATATAAATAAAACTGTTGACAGCAGGGGCGTGTAAACTATGCGCACAATTACTTCAATTCAATAAACCATTTCGTCGAATCGCTGAATCAATTAATTAAATCATTACCCCTCAAAGATCCGTTCCTGATTGATACGGAACGGCAAGGGAAAATAACAAGTCGATTAAACCCTATAAGTGCTGCATCTTAGGGGTTGAAATTAAGTCAAAGGGTCTCCAAGGGTGAAAAGAAATCACACATAACCCTCACAACTCTCAATTACGCCATCATAAAAATGAAACGTTTCCTTACACCATTGCTCCAATTAAATTACCCAAAAAAATCTCTCCCACTGAAAAAATGTTGTTAACAGAATCAAGTATACTAGGTCGACTAAAAAAATCCATCAGCATGGCCAATGGGGATGAAAGTTAAAGGGCGCGAAGGGAAGAAATAAAAGGGCCCCGAGGGGGAAAATGGGGTTTATCGTATCACTTTCGCGCCAAGGGCCAACTGAAAGGGTAGAGAGGTGTGGGGTACTGGGCGGGTGCGTGAAACTTGAACCGAGGAAACCTAACAGTGGCCACGCCGATTCCAGGGGTTAAGTTAAGCCTGTAACATCGAGCGGCAGCACGACAGAAGAAAACGACGAGAAAGAGGGCGGAAGGGGTTGTGTGTGGGGGTAGCAGGGAGAAATCTCTGTGTGAGTCTACGAATGAATAGAATCGATCTGAGGAACTCAGAGAACTAAGAGGGTGGTGGGATCATCGACGAAAAGTGTTCTCGAATGGAATGAATCTCGTGAGACTCACCGGTGTCGTTGGACTGTCGACCCTTGCCATCCGGATTCCACTCCTCCTCTGCAACAAGAAAAAAAGGAGAAACGGCTCCATTAGAGGCTGGAGGAAAAACACTTTCTGAACGGAAAAAGTGTGTACAGTTGTCTAGCGGAGTTTCTTCAAATTTAAATTACGAAAAATTAAAGCTGCCAGCGATAAAAGCGGCCTGTTGCGAAGGGATTCTAAAGGTGTACGAGCAAGAATACTAGCGGAGGCGAGATACACAGGAGTCACTGGGTCGAGTAAGGCTACGTTCCCACTTGAGTGCCATTAACGAGAGCAACTACTTCTACATACTTTCATATGGGAGGTACTATTGGGAGTGAAGTTTAGATTACGTGTCCACTTGAAAATGAATCTCATGGATGACTGTTAAGCTGCCTGTCCACGGATCTCGAGATCAGTTAAGCTGTGCCCCCATTCGAGAGACCTTTTCAATTCTAGAACAGTAGAGTCTAGAATACTGTTTCCTACTTTCTCAATTGAATACGTTGGAAAAGATACATCTAAGCTTCCAAATACAGTCTACTTCAAATCGGGAGTTCTTAAGCTGTATTCCCACTTACGAAACCTTTTTCACTTCTAAAACAACAGAATCTAGGATTCTTTCTCTCATTTTCTCAACTAAATACCTTGGGAACACACATCCGCGCTCGGATAGAGCTTAGATCACACAGAGGACAGGATAGGGCTTTCACCTACTCGCACCTACACACCTACAACCACCTACATTTACCTATACGCCTGACAACCGCACTTTTATGAAACCTCCTCACGTATCGTCCTACAACAAAAAACATGTTCCTCTTAATAACCAGCACGGCTGTAATGAGGATACCTTTGGAGGAAGCCCAATGACCTTGAAATCAAGCATTTCCTCATCCAACCCCCTCACCCCTGAACTCGTAATTTAAAGGATGGGGAAATATTCCGGAGTCAAAGGGAAAGAGGCTCAGCGAGCATCCTGCATATTTCAGGAACGCTGCGCGCGCGAATTCCCGATACCCGTGTCTACTTCCGCATTCTCGGCCGCGCGGGAGTTATGAATATAAATTCGCGACCTGCCGACCTGTTTTCTGCGAACTCCCCTTCAGCGCATCCCTCGTTGGACATGTCTGACGAAGAAGATCGCAGCGGCTGCAAGTAACGATTTAATAAAGGAAAAAAACACACACACACAGACACATTTCCTCCCGCCCGCCCTCAGCATGAATTTCCATGACAATCGTGCACAGCGCGAAAACACTGCGCGATAAGCTACCCTGTGACGGTCCGGGCGTATCTACAAGTCAAAAGGCGACGATGTTTGCGAGAACAGAGAGAGGAGGCTGGCCGAAGCCTCGGGCCACGGCTTTTGAGCCTCCGCTCGCCCGCCAATCCCCGCGACGCTCCTGCTAACCTTGTTTATGACGCGGCGCACGCTTTGCTGACGGCTCGGACCAACCTCCTCCTACGTTACTCGCGTTTCTCTTGAGTTAGTTACTCGGAAAGTGATTCTTTTTTTGGCCTGAGACGCGTTTGAGTAGCTTTATATTGATGTTTGGCGAGAGTTTGTTGGTTGAATGGAATTAAGGAGCTTTTGAGGAATCATAGTGTTGCCTTGTTTTTGGGGTTAGAATTATTGCAAATGGTTGAACGAGTTGTTTTAGGTTCTTTATTTTTTGATTATTCAAACTGGGAAAATGTTTATATACGAGTTATTCGAAAAATTGGAAAGACTAGAAAAATGTAGGACATTAAGAAATTGCAAGAGTAATTAGAAATTAATAAGAACTGTAAGTAGAATTGTAATATAGAAGTATTAACAGGTACTCCTGTAATTTTACTGAGATATTTGTAACGTTAGTTTCATGAAACTATTCGCGAACTATAATTTCTTTCCCTTCAACTTTCCAATGTTACCTACAAAAATTTCCCCTGGTTACCATTCACAATTAAAGACCACTGCAATATATCTCACAAAGAAACCACTAGCTCCCTTCACAATCATTCCACCACATAATTCCACTTCCCAAGTTAAACAAGTACCTATCAAAAACTACTCAACAACAATCCCATCAGAAAAGCAAAAAACGATCTACGCAAAACCAATCTAAACTCGCAAAAATAACATACAAAATTACGTTCACCCGCCCCTAAAACATTTCCATCAGCCGGATGCCATTCCCTAAAGCTACCCAATTCCCATCCCCAAATTCCACTGACCAAACCAACATCTCGCGCTGGGAGCAAACGACAAAACATCAGAAACGGTCCAAAAAAAGAATCCATCAAAGAAGTCGCCTATGGATGGTTGTCAGGTGGGAGGGGTTGGATTTCGGTTACCTGAAGAGTCGGAATCTGATCCCGGCGTGGGGCTAGCGTCCACACTGTGCCTGGATCCTTGGCAACACTCGCTGCACTTGCTGCACATCGTGTCCGAGTCAAGTAGGGCTGGCGAGTCCGCCGCGACAGACCACCACCACCACCACACCGGTTCCCTCACGATCGGCGATCGTCGATCACGGTGTCGCACGACGTAGTCCGCCACGCTGCGCCGCTCCGAGCAATCGATCATCGGCGTACCCGCCGAACGGACCCGGCACCACTGTCACACTCGCTCACTGGCCTACCGGCGGCGTCTGGCCGATCCGACGGACCCGCGTTACGATCCCCTCGGCGCTCGGTCGCGAACTAAACCCGAGGGGCGGGTGTGGAGGGGATGATCGACGCTGTTCGCCGTAACGCGGCGAGTCGTCTCGCGGTATTTTCGGCGGAACGGGTGGGGGGAGGCGGCTCCCGGGGCGGAATCTCTGTACCTGATGGGCTGTGGCACGTGCGGTTTTATTTTGATTTCTTTCCGAATTAAACGTTACGTAGGATGTCTGAGAATGTTGTGTAAACTGTCAGTCATGGAGAGTTTTCAGGGTGACAATGGTAGATTCGTTGGTCAGATTTTTCGTTGACTTTGATGGAATCGTCGTGTGTCTTTGGAGATGGAATTGCAATTATTCGAGGGAATTTGTGTATGATAGATATCGAGGATTTGAAGTTTTGCAGATTTGATGAATGTAAGGGATGTTGTTGTATTGTTTGAAGTTAATTAATTGAGAATAGTTTGAACTGATATTGTTTAGAAGGTGTTGGAAAGTCTTGTTCTTCGGATATTCGGAGTTCAATGTGTGTAGATTTATGTGACCGATAGTATGAGATACAAGATCTATATTAGCAGTTAGTTTATTTGGTTGTATAGTTTAAAGTAGTTCTATACTTGGGCAGAATGAAAATTATGGTAACTAGACTGCGAATGTTCATGCATTTATGGTATCTTTCTATATTTATGTCTTGCATTTTTTATTTTTATATTTCAAATTAATATAACGAGGTTTATCGTGGCAATCAGTCAAACGAGACATGGCAGTCAACATGCAACGGCTTTGTTTCGACATAACAATATTGCATAATAATTTCACTATATATTTGGAAACATAAACGAACACATATGAACAACTTCTAGCTCCCGGCTCAATTAATCCCTCCTCTAATCTGAATCCAAAAATTGTTCAGAAACAACTTTTGCAAATGGGAATGCTCTCCCAACAAACACTGAATATAAATACATAACGAGCTCTTCATGAAAAAAATACCTATTTTTTAAGGGAGCACGCTATCACTTCGAACGATCAAACATTTCCATTTCAAATTTAATCACATTACCCGTTCGAAATATCCGAAAACGACGCTCGGCCACGAACAGCCACCGCTTAAATTTCGCTAAAGCTATTATTTCAACAAAAATAACGCCAATCTCCCCGCTCGACAATAGAATGTACAGGTGTCCAGAAGGCTCGCCGATGCACAAAATTAATTGGCTCCGGCGTTTATGCTTGGTTCCAGGAGCGATTTCGAAAAGCAAACGAGAGTTGAAATGGGCGGGATAAAGAACGCAGGGGCGTGGTGCGGGCGACGGGTGGGGGTGGCGAGAGGCGTGGCCTCCATTGTCGTACTCGTTAACCGGAGAGACAAAGCAGCGAGATTCGTTCCCGATACCGGAGAAAATACATTTTCCAGTTTACCGTAAGCATTAAAAACGGCCGAGTCACCCCCGATTGCAATCGGGTCAGCCGAGTTAATTAATATGAAGCGGATGGGTGGGACGCGCGGTGGGCGGTGGGCGGTGGGCGGTGGGCGGTGGGAGGGGCTCCGACAGTCCGGCGAAATCCGAGTTAATCGGTTGGTAAAAGGAAATTCAGAAACAGGTATGTAGGACAGGATAAAATAGGGAAGCAGATGGGCTTGTTACGGGCCTTGTAAATACGATATGTTCCAGGATTAATCCTTTCGCGGCGCGATACAAGGGAATTCGCGGTATAATTGCCACGCTTTCTTTGTCCGGCCCATGGATTCTCTACTGTACGAGGGAGAACAGTTGCTTGTACCGCGTTTAATGGACGCGTCATTTGGTCCGAGCTAAACTATTGGTTGTGGTGATTATCTTGTGTACCAGTGGTTCTTAATTGGTGTTTTGCGAAGTAGTTACGAGGGTTTGGGGTACGATATAACTTGTTTTGATATTAGGACCAGATTTCAATGTAGTTTTATTTTGGAATAAGAATTAATACATAAAATAGAATACTATTGGTATGTTTATTGTATTTTTATAGTAAATTTTTAATTAACGCAAGTCACGTATTTAATAGTTTGTCAAATAAGCGTTTGTACAACAAATTATATGTTTTTAATGTTCTGAAGTAAAATAACGTTTATACATTATCCTTTGTTATATTACGAAGATTTAACTTTATTTAATTCTAACTTTTTGTACTCGGCAATACTAATTAATATTTTTAATATATGTATCGCACAAGTAATTGTTTAATCTTTTAATTGTAAGGTGAGTGCTGCAGAGGAAACAGATTATAAATGAATAAATAAATGATAATGTCGAGGCTAATGATAATAACACGTATTATAAATTCCAATAAGAGAGAAAAACAGAAAAGGGGTGTTGTTTAACGGCAATTTGCGAAACTGCGCACGAG